GCTTTCCCTGACAAACACAGACACACGGAGCCCGTCACACCTAACATCAGAAAAGTTCAAGGCAAAGTGTTCCTACACCCCCGTTACCTGCAGCCTGGCGAGGATGCTGGCCTTCTTGGAGTTGGATGAGTAGCTCCTGGAGCACGAGACGCTGCAGAAACGTTTGGTTTTGCTGTAGAAGGCGTCTCTGACGCCGACCATGCCGCACATCTCACAGGTCGCTGAGGAGAGCAGAGAGAGAGCAACTGAGGACGCAGATCGACCGACTCAGAAAACCAGGTCCTGATTCTAGACGTGAACTGACCCATGCCGGCCTTCCCGTCGGGGTACGTGTACACCTGACCGTTGGTCTTGATGAGCGTCAGTGAAGAGGAGGGGTTTAGCTGAGTAACCCCTCCTCCTAACTCTTCGTCCTCGCTGTCCTCGGGACTAGAGGCGCCGCTCCCCCCGCTGGACTCGGTGCTGCAGCTGCTCCGGTCCTCATCCAGACCGTCCAGCATTCCGAACGAGTCCCGCCGCTTCCGGGACTGACGCTCCACCTGAGGACGGAAGACAGTCTAAAGTCACAAAGACCCCCAAAAAGCCATTGACCCCATTAAAACTGTATTTAATCCACAGAAACACAATTGTAACCACAAATATTTTATTAAATGTTCTCAGGTTGTAACAACAAAGATCTGTGAAGGTCATGAATATTGTTCCTTCTCTGGTCCATCCTCTGACCTCTACCCATCATCACGTCGCAGCAGTGGGTTTGGAGCTCCTGCAGCGCTGCAGCACAGAGAGGCTGACTGACAGCACAAAGACAGAAGCCACAACACCGGGTCACCTCCAGGATTCCCCTCACTTCCGCTCACTCTGAGCCCCGACTGCGGGGTTAAACCTGTGCACCCCCCTCCCCATCTGCCAGCATTAAATTCGGCGGCATTAAATTTGTGCAGCACTGCAGTCTGCTCCTGGAAAAGCCGTTTTTCGGTGCTGATCCACGGTGACGCTCCGCGCTCTGAATGTACGAGTATGTAGCGGGAAAAAGCAAAACGATAAACACGTTTACTTTTTATTTAACTAAAACGTGTTTACCGGAATACATGCATGCCGAATTAAAAAACATGTTGTCAGGTTTATGAAACTTTTATAGACAACATCCAGTCCAATGTTTGTCTTTGGAAACAAGCAGCAAAACTAATACCGAAGGACTTTCAAAGGAGATCTGACACGAGATTTTGGCCATAACAGGTAAAGTGAATATAAATCTACGTTTTGGCCGGTTACATAACTACTCCAGTCTTTATATAGCTACAGAATTAAACTCTGAGTTGACCTTGTTACCAACTGATGAAATTTATCTTGCGTTTGAACATGTGTTTCTGTCAATGAACGAAAGTATCTTAAATTTAACGATTTCTCAATGGAGTTTTGCTTTAACACTCAGTCCGCGGTCGCTTTTAAGCAGTCCCTAAATCAAGCATTAAAAATGAAGGAAGACCCGCTTCCGGGCGGCTCGGGGGAGCCCCGGGACTCACCAGGTCTCTGGGGTTTTCCATCAGGTGGGGTCGTGAAAGGACTACGCTCTCTGACAGCAGAACCCGCAGGAGCAATCATTAAAGACCAGCGGCAGACATGTCAACAAAACACCAACTGCTTCGCTGCGCAGGCGCTCGACAGGCTGACGCTGATTGGCTGAGGCTCCTGCTTCGTGTTATTTAATAAGAAATGATGAGTCCTCCAGGGACCCCTGCTGGTCTGACGGTGAAGCGCCAATAATGAGATAAATACGAACAGGTAAAACAAACAAAGTGTAGAAATAAACGGAACCAGGCTCAGGGAGGGGCGGGGCCATCTGCTGTGATTGGTTGG